CCCCAAAACCCCAAAACCCCAAAACCCCAAAACCCCATATTAAAATCATAAAATTGCATGGTTACACGCATGAAAAGACTTTAAAATCTTTGATGGAAATTTCAGCACCCTTTTCGTCACAAAGTTGAGCCAGTCAGGCCTCAACAGTGAGGTTTTCATCATTATCAGGCGAGATGAATCCCTGGTTGAGAAGAATCTCTTCCTCAGTGTATTTAAGCCCACTAGCATCAGCATCAGCTTGGGAAATATAAGATGGCCTCGTAGCAACCACATGTAATGCAAGAGTCTCGGCAAGGAAGGAGAGATCTAGGTCAGGATCATCTGATTCCAAGAGGACAAGAGAACCTAGTTGACAAAGACCAGTCCCATGGCTTAAATGAAGATAATGTCCCCATGTTTGTCTCTCAGTGGCTGTCTGTCTCATCATCTTTCCAAGCTTGATATTTTCTTGGGTTTTCTTTGTGAGATATGTGATTCCGTCTTTGCCAGTCATTTCTTGGATCTCACTATCAAGGGATTTTTCTAAGGTAGAGCTTAAGAACTTTTTCTTAGCATCAAATTCATCCTGCTCATCTACTGCTAATGGGATTTCCAAGTCATTAGCGTTGATAAGAGTATCGAAGTAAGCTGCTACTCCATCTTTGAAGATTTTAGTTCTAGCAAGAAAGTCTGTCTCGCAATTAACCTCAAGTACAACTGCAGTCTTGTTATCATTGATGAGTTTAATGCCGATTTGCCCGTAAAGTGTTGGAGGCTCGACTTTCCTATATATTGTAACTTTAAGTTACTCTTCAACAGCAGGAGCTTGTTGCTCTCTCAGCCAAATCTTGGCTTGATTGATATCCCCTCCAAATTTATCAAGAGCTATTTTGCATTCTTTGAGAGGAGAACCTGTAGCGACTCTTAATCCTTTCATCTTTATCCTGATGCTATTTTGCCTAATTGGAGTAGTGAATATTAGTCTTGATGAGTGCATAAACCTCCGGCTGAGAAGAGACCTAATCAACATCTTTAAAAATATCTTGTTTTTACTTCTTTAGGAATTAAAGGGGTTTTGGGGTTTTGGGGTTTTGGGGTTTTGGGG